TGACAAGAGATGGAGGGAGAATAGTTGATTGCTCAAACTCCAATAGATGATCTCCTCAAGCTCTTGTGGAATTAAATTCACAAACTCAAACACCTAATTGCTTAAAAGCTTCTAAACAAACATTAAATGAACTTAAAACCTTGTTTAAAACTCTTTAAACTTGTTTAAAATATTTCTTAAGTACCCTTAAAAGTATGAGGGCATGAGGTATATATAGACTCATGAAACAAGCTTAAAAACCAAGAAAAACACCCCCAAAACATTAAAATAAAAAAAAACAGAACTAGCCGTTACTGTGCAACGGTAACCTGCGCGGTCGACTGTGGTACTGTAGCACTATATATCCAGCTTTGTAAAATCAATTAAAAATAGTAAATCAACTCTAAAAATTATAAAATTTTTAGGGAATGTTCTAGACATATATAATAACATGTTAGAGAAATAATTTCTGAAAAATCATTTTCCAGTTGAGAGAAATAAATGTTTGAATATAGATATACGGTTTCTGAAAATCTGCTGATATACACGATTTTGTAAAATCAATTGGGCACAGTAAAACAACTCCAAAAATGGTAAAAATTTGAGAAAAGTTTCTAAACATGTAGATAAACATGTTAGAGAAATAATTTCTTAAATATCACTTCCCATTTGTGAAAACTCATCTATTTTTTAAAAAACATGCACGAACATGCACGAACGTTAACTTGTAAAAACTTGATTTTTACAAAACGAATTCAAACAACTTTGAAACACTTTCAAACATTCTTATAGACTTAATAAAAGATGTATATCATTGTTGTTAAGTCCATAAACTAAGAAAATAATCTTTTCACAAAATACAATAGAATATGAAACAAGTGAATGTGATATTTGTTTCATATCTATAAAACTAAATCAAAACAACTTTACCATATGAAACCAAACATGTATATATATAAATATGTATTTGTTTCATATTTAAACTTGAAATCCAATTTTCCAAAAACTTGTGTGTATATATATATAACTATATATACAAACCAAATGCGTGTGGGTATATATGATTGAGCTTAAAGTACCAACACACATAATATAAACCTAAACTAATGTTACCCAAGCTTGATCTTGATCTTCAATAAGCTCTATCTTGGTACACATACGGATGAAGCTAGAACTTGGATCTTGAACATGAATTGCGTAGGCTTCACTCCGCTATACCTCCAACCTCTATTGGATATGATCGTGTAGGCATAGTTTCATCCATCCTCCAATTTCTTGTTTGTCTACAATTGATACAAAAACACAAATACTAGACAAACAACATTAGAAATAAATTATTTGTAAATCATCATCAAAATAAGAAGGCCAACAACTATGAGTATGGTTATGTGCAAATACCCTTTTACTTTATTAGTTCAATCAGAAGTGATTAAAATTTTTGTAACTAGAAAGATTTAAATATCTAAAGGTGCTTTCCCCCCTTCATTTAGTTAGTGTTAAAGAAATAAATATCATCATCTGACTCTAGAGTAGGGGTGCATTTGCTCCGGATACGGCTCAAATATGTTAATTATTATATCCATATCCGCTTCCTCATCTCAGAAACGGACAATGGCGGAGCCAGAAATTCATAAGAGTGGTGTCACAATCTATACTACTTATAAAAGACAATACCCATATCAAAACTTTTGATTTGCTATTTTTCCCTTTCAAAAATTGATAATTCACAATTATACCATTAGTTGTAAATCCTTAAATAATTACCCATAACTCTTTATTAAATGCACATCCCACTCTCTCCCAAAATATTTGGTCAAGAATATAGTTATTATCAATAGTTTATAATCTAATACTACAGACAAATGCTTAGGTCTATATTTAGAATTTTAGAATGTCAATGTTTACTTTTTGGACTACCTTAATTACAAGTCGGGGACTTGCAACCTACTCTCCTCTCTAAGAAGTTGAAAAGACTGTTTTCAGGGACATTAAAGTTTAAGCTATGGGAGGACAAGAGTCTTGTAGAGACAACCTAAGAGCTAGAATTAGAGGATGGTGCATCTCATTCTTCATTACTTTGTGTCTTTTGAGCAATAGCTGCTAATGAGTCCAAATTTTCTACTCAAGACTATAAATTTCTTCCCAAACAGTCACACAATAGTATAAGATAGTTAATCAAATAATTATAATAACAAGATGTATAGTCTAGACTTTTAAAATTCAATTTGAATCAATGCATAAACTATGAACCAAATTAACTAACAAACAACATTTTTTATTTTTATATAACTTCTCTTCCATCTCTTAATCATAAATTAGCTCACACATTTTCTTCCACTCACCATAATACCTACTAAGCCAAATTCATACAATTACAAGAGAAAACTTTACTTAAACTCAGCTTGGATTAAAATGGAAAATTTAGCAGAGCACAAGATGTCAACTTCTTTCGAGAATCAAATTTGCTCAAGCATGTGTTAGCATGGTATGTTCCTCTATACTTCAATTAGAATTTTGAAAATGTGTTTCGAAACTTGATTATTGTAGACATGAGTCAATTTGGTACAATTTAAGTTGCTACAATCAATTTGATGATTAGTTTTTTTTGGATACATTGGGTTCGCTCGAATTTCAAAATGTATTATAAAAAGTCTAAAACGAGCAAATGTATCTTGATATCTCATTAGATTAAATATTTTTGAAATTCAACCCGCTAAACGCATTTCACAATGTAATTTGAAAACACATTGTACCAAAAAAATCTATGATGCTAATATCATGAAGTAGGGACATGATTAGGAATGCATTAGGCCAATTTTATTACCCTTTTGATGTTACAGTGAGAAATACATATAAACTTACTTATCGTGATTTCAGACAATAAAGTTGAATAAATACTACAGCCAACATCATATTCACATGCATCTAAAATAAACATTATATTTTTATTATAAGTAAGCCCTGTACTAAAGTGATATCTTCTGAAGCTTTTAACTTTTTACCTTCTAATTAATAACTTATTTTTATACATGACATTTATTTTTTATTTATTTCTCTCTATTCCTCTCCTTCCAACCATCCGACTTCTATTTCTGAGAATTGAATAGCCTGGGATGACGATAAAGATGTAATAGATTTCTATGGAAATGCTACTGCAATGATTCAGTGCTAAGGTTGTGAACTAGAGTTTGATAAAAGGCACATGAATGATATAATCAGTCTCTCTTGCAATTGTCACGAACTTCAATTAGTGACAAGTCCCCATTCGCATGATATATCTCAATCATCCTGACACGTCAATTTTAGCTTTAAGTTTAAGAAATTTATTTAGGAAAGTTCTTATTATTTAGCATTTCCTTAAATAGCTTGAACCTTAGTGTAAATTGAGCAAAGATGCGTCTCTCATCCCTAATACTAAAACATCTTTTAATGTTGCAATCGTGTTTACATAATAAGTTTTTCCATGCATAGGATTATAATTGTTTCGCCCTATTAATCCATGTCGGATATTAGTTATTTAGTAAATTCGACTCTCTATGTCTATATGTTTTGTTTCAGCTTCAAATGTTGATGATTAGTGTAGACTTTGATAAGATATTTAAAATTGAAACATGATATGAATTGGTTCCTTTTTTTTATCTCATTACCTTATAGATTCAGTTTACAATATATATAAAAAGTGATATCACTAAATTTTCTCTCACGTTCGATATAACTTGGAACTTTAATAAGATACAAAAGATATTAACTAAATATAATTACAATTGACTTGTACTTGTCTTCATAGTTTGAAATCATTGAGCAATAGCCTTAACCACTAAATACAACATTTTCAATATAATTTATGTATCTTTTCCCCCCTTTTTCAAAATTGATAGTATTTATAGCTCATTGATATGTGGCGAATTGAGCTATTTAAGTTTATGTTCCTAGGGTAACTTTAATTTTAAGTATGACCTATTAAAAGTTGATGGGTCACTACATACTATCTAAAGGTGTCACTCTGTTTTAAAGCTCGCATATGGTGCATTATTGTGTGATTGAGGGTGGTGTCAAGTATGCTGGCTCCGCCCCTGGATGCTGGCTCCGCCCCTGGATACGGATTTAGATATGGATATAGATAATGATATACCTTGATAATGAATACTTTTATCTATATTCACTAAAATTGGTTACGGATATGGATATGCATGCATATATATATATATATAAGCGGATATCCATGCAGATTCAAAGAAGATAGAAGAAAACTAGATAGTATTGAGAAAAATATAGTTCATGTGATAGGAAAGAGTTTATTAGTATGTTCATTATATCCGAAAAGCTAGGATTAAACAACTTTATCATCAAAATTAACCTTAAATATATAATCTATGAATTAAAACTACATAAAAGTTTGACTAATATGTATCCGGATATTTTGGATACAGATTCAGATATTTCACTATAAAAGCATATCTGTAACCATATCATAACCATATCTGTATTCTAAAAGATATAGTTATGAATATTTTTTCCGATATGGATACGGTTTAGCACATCTACTCTAGAATGTAGATAAAATTTGAATGATGTCATTAGATGTTGATAATATAAATTAAAACAATTAATATTTTTGGTGGTGCCAAGTCACCATTCCGTTGTAGTCTAGTTGGTTAGGATACTCGGCTCTCACCCGAGAGACCCGGGTTCAAGTCCCGGCAACGGAAATATTTTTCCCTAAAAATACAATAAATATTTTTGGAAAATAATTAAAAAATTCCACACATCAAGCAAAGGTTTTAGGGTGGAAAATCAATTTCAGTCTCGCTTAATTATTATATTTTCAACCCTACACTTCTGACCTTTTGCAATCCTCATTTTGGCGGCAAATAACCCTTCAATCCCTTTTTCAACTTCTCTGCCAAAATTAGGGTTTCCTTTTTCCCCTCTCTCGAAAAATGGTGGTCGGCGTTGAAAACCCTAGATCAACCGCCGGAACCGCCGCCATCAACGGCGGGATCGA